CGTAGGGGGCCAAGCGGAGAGGAGTCAGCGCGGGACGTGGCGGACCCCCGACCGGTCGTCACCTGTCATCAAACAGGTACCTGACACGCATGTGTGTGCATTTTTTGACCACCGTCAATGAGGATTGTGGAAAACTACTGAACAACGTGCTTGGTGGACACGAACTTCGCTTCAAAAAAAGTCCAAGCTGTCCCTTTTTGGAGGCCCCCAAGCTTATAATGTGAAATGTCGTTTTCCTGGTTTGTAATATCCCGCCATTTTTTTTACTGTTCCCGTTCCTGCTGAAATATTACATCCGAACCAAGCTGTGCATTTGTTTTAGTCCAACATCCTACCGAAATTTTCTGCACAACAAGTGTCGTACAAGAGGCAAAAAGCCTCTACAAGCCAGGACACGGTGCATCAGTAATTCCTTCGTGCTCGATAAACGGTGTCAGAGGCCTCTGAAGACGTGCCGCTCTTTTGCTTTCTGGCCTCTTTATTGAGCCTGGAGTCTCATTGTTATTCTGCGAGGGATGAGGCGCAGACGCCGTGTGCCGCATCGGTCTCGCTCGCTGCCTCCGTGGCTGGCGGGGCATCGAGTGTGTCGAGCCCAGAGTCATCTGACTGGAGAATCAACAGCAAAAACCCCGAAGGAAGGCAAGGCAGCTGAGCCGCTCTTTAGAAAAGCGGTCACGCCGTCAAGACCTCACGCTTCATGAATGAAACGAGGGTCATTTTCTGCGGGGGGAGGGCGGCCTGTGTTACATGACATCAAGACATGGGTGGCATCAGCGTTCTGAAACTGGTTTTCATCTCCAATCTCATCTTCAGGTGTTAGGCAAGCAAAGCTGCGCTGCTAATGAGCAGGGAAGGACTGGAATCTGGAAAGCACTGAGAAGAGGCTGGAATAGTAACAGGGTGTCAGGGACTCGGTCCGGTCAACCCCCGACGGAGATCCTTTCAGACCCACGTCAGGTTTCACCTCTCGTAAGAAAAACCAGAGTAGAAGATCCTCCGCGGAGTCCTGTGAGAACTTTAGTCGAGTATGGCCGACCTGACTCTGTGCAACATGGGTACTGTAGTTCTCCTGGTAAGGAGGCGGTCTTCCACTTGAGAAAAAAACATTCATTGTGTGTCAATCGCTGTTCACGTTCCTGTTCAAATATTCTGCCCGTAGACTCCCACAGGAAGCCAACCAGAGCCGAGGAACCCCCGATATGTTGTCCACTGACAACTTCCCCTCGGTACAAGGTGCCCGATCCTTCCCGCGGGGCGAGTGGCGCTCCATCCGCGACGCAGCCGTACAGGCGCCACAGCTTACAGCCGCAACACATCCAGACCACGTCCACGCCCGCCACTCTCATCCCCCGTACCAAAGTGGGATTCTCATCCATCACCATCTCCAGCCGGAAAGTCAGCCGCTCTGCCAGTCTGACCGCGTCAGACAGGCCTCAAACCGCCAACCCTCAGCCCGCCGATCCCATGGACCAGAGGAAGGCCACCATCGTCAAAGTAACCGAGCAGAGGACCACCGTCAGCTCCGTCCCTGTGGTCCTACGGAGAAAGCCCACAATCATCAAAGTGATCGAGCATAAGGAGAGCTATAGTCCAGGGACTCCGAGCAGGAACAGCTTCGGAGCGGATCGCAAGGAAAACGAGACCTGGAGGCAACTGGAAAGTCCAACTCGTGTCGAGGCTGGAAGAACGTCTCCGGTACAAAATGGTGAATCTACTCCTGCTGAGTTTGCTGCACAAGAACCCAAGGGACCGGCTGTCAGGAAATGGAGCTTGGGACTCCCTCAGGAGACCTTTCAGGAAACCCCAAAAAAAGACCACCGGGAGGCGTTTGCCGCCCGATGGAGCTCAACTCCATGCCTCACCCTCATTCAAACTCCGGGTAGGTTTGACAGGCTTCTTTGTATCAGCACTTCTTTTCTATGCATGTTCAAAGGCTGCCAAAGCCTAAAAATACCGCCGCTTTGTGCCGCTGTTAAACACTCCAGGGTCTGAATTCTTGAACTATCGCACTGACTCCATTTCATCCAATAGTCTCCCAAAGTCAGCGGGGAGAGGCTCTAACTCCCCAACAACTCCCCCCCCCCCCCTCCTTGAGAACAAGCGCTGTAGAAAACCGATGGATGGAAATCAAAGCGGGTACATCGGCGGCCTAAACTGACCATCGCTTTTCGGTTGCCATCGCAATATCCCCTGTTTAATTTTCCTCTGAGATGTGAAACAAATCCAAATATTGCTACTTGACGGCGGTCCTCACTCGTGTCCTTGAGGGGGAAAAGATGTTAGTCAGCATGATGTCCTCGCACCAACAAATTTGTTTGATTATGCAAACGAAGCAGCAGGAGCCAGCGAGTGAGCGTGTTGCTCATTCACAATGCGCAGTGAATAAATATTCCTTCAGCGCACCATCGGATTTATCAACGTGGCCAAAAAGTAGCCTCGGTGCCGTTCATGAGAAACCGAGGCTGTTATTTACCTGAAAGTGAGTGCGTGCATGAAGAACTGATGTTAGTTACCGGCCAACCAAAAATGCACCCAAAGAAGGAAAAAAAAGCCCAAATCTTGAACGAGGCCTACAAATTGCAAAATGTAAATTCCAGAGTGAGTGTTTTTTATCGGCTTTTGCTTGCCTTGCAGACCCTCACCAGTCTCCGGAGGAAGTCCTGGCCCTAAACGCGGCCGCCATCATCGCGAACATCAAACTCCAGCGGCAGCTCAGTAAGAAGAAACCAGCACCCTGCGATTTGGAGGGGGATCCCGCCGCCTCCCCGCAGGGAGATTCAGGTGCTCTTATTACTCCTCAAATGTAATAATCACTTCCCGCCTTGATTAAACATCGATCTCGGTCACAATGACCTGAAATTGTTGCAAGCGCCGCAGTTTTGCTTCCACAGCCGGCACCTTTGATTGAATGCGACGCCTGGGCACGGCTCGCGGGGGTGTGGAACGACGCCGTCCGCACCCGCCGGCTGTGTGTAAATGAAAGTGAAAAGAATGTGCTTCTCTCTCTGCCTCGGCGGCGGCGTCAGTCAGGGGACGGTGGGCACAGGCTCACAGCAACCTTCCAACCCGGGATGAGCCTTGGTCTGACCCTGCACCTCCCACTCTTGACCTTCAAAAATCCCGTCCCACTGTTTCTCTCCAGGTGAGAAAATCCTAAAACATGTTTTGGGTCATTTTGGCTATTGTCAGAGGTCTTTCAAAACTGAATTGGTCCAGGAGATTTTGTCTGAATGCTACCAAATTTCAACATGTACTCGCTAATTTACAAGGAGGCATATGGAGCAGGGAATCAAATTTCAATGACTCGCCATCAAACACAATGTTTCAATATCACGCTGATAGCTACATGCTAGGGCAGTGCTTTCTGAATTTTTGTGAGAAAAAGGCCCACATTGTTTTCAGACAGATTTGAAAAAATGAACAGGACCCAAGTTGCACAGGATACTGGTACTACAAAAGATACTGCAATACCATGTTTGTTTGTTTTTTTAGGACCAGTACTGCTCTGCTCAGTTTGGAAGTTACCTAAGAATATCTATCTGTCATTGAGCTTCTGTGGCCCTAAACAGTGACGGTTTTTTATTATCTAGTCGTGTTTTTGTTTAAAAATGTTTGACATTTTCTTTCGTTTTGTGTGGAGGCCAAAGTCGCGTCCAACAGAAAAGTGTTACGTTGGCGCCCTCTTGTGGCATCCTGGCAAGTCACGGTGAGGGGAACAGCTTCGCTTTGTCACGCCATATCGCCCCTTATGGCACAGAAAATATATGCTTTGCTGCCATTTTGTGGCAGCTATAGGGAATTACATCAAAAGCCCACCAAAGCGTGTCTTTCCAAAGAACAAAACACTGGAAATAGAAACATGTGCCGCTATTACGCTCATTCTCGATGTTTTTCATCATCCCCAAAATGGAATCACGGGTTATTCAGAGACTTCCTCTGTGGGAAATATCTCGAGGCTATGTGAACTTAGCATGCTCGGAAGGCGCTTTTATCACGGAGAAAACAAAAATATGATTTGGATGTGTGCAGGAAGCCCTGCTGAAATCCAAGCCGCGCTTCATCGCTCGCTCGCAGGAGCGCGTGCAAAAGATGGCGAGGAGGGCCCAGGAAAGGAAAGAGCGCTCCAGGGCAGGAGCCTCGCAAACGCTTGCCCGTCGTCCCCGCAGAGGAGCTCACCAACAGGCACGCTCCATCAACGGTAAGAGGAGCAAATTGGACAGTTACTAACTTAAAAAAAAAAATGGACACCATAATTGGAACGAACTCATTAATATGCCATGCAGCTGGGAAATACTCAGATTGACTTATGTGTTGGGTAAGAAAAGCACAATTTGCATAAAAGTACCTGTTTTGATGTATGTTACGTATTTTTATCATGTATATTTTATTGGGTAAACCATCCAGCGATGATCAAGCATTTCCAGTAAAGATGTACTTACTGCCGTCTTGTGGCCGTTGGGGAATACTACAACAGTACCATTTCTCGTAGCGCATTTTTTTTTACACCTTTTGATGCATTTTGTTCACATTTTTATACCGTTACACGAATATTACAAGATTTTAGTACATTCACCAAATTTATAAATGTTTTTTTCCCTTTTTTTTCTAGATAATCTGTCAAAATCCAGAGAAGGATCCAAGGAGCTCAAATCAAATCGGTCAGGAATTTGTGATGTACGCATTAAATATGAAGGTAATATTATATTGGAAAAAACTTTGCCTTTTTTCCAATTTCCTTTATGGCAGGCCACTAACAGAAGTGAAGAAGCGAAAAGAGGAAGCAAAGAAGAAGAAGGAGGCCTGTTTGACCAACAGACAGCGCGTGGAGCTTTTCAAAAAGGTACCGTACATGTAGGTGTACACAGACGTGTGGTTCTAAAATATATATATTTGGGATAGTATATTTGTTTTGTTATTTTCAAATATTCGATGATTTAAAAATGTGTAATGTTTGTGAATTTTCTTTTTTTCCACTAGAGGGTAGTGTTGCCTCATATTTGCCAGCCTCGAATGCCACAAAGCCATTTTTGTTTTTTCGAAACAATGCTCCTATTTGTGTGGTCGTCATTAATTTGAGCGTCTGCTACGTAGCATCACAAGTATAATAAACAATCGATGAGATTTATGAGTTTTGACTTCCTGCCCTGCACTTCCTGACTCTCCACGAAGTGTCCTATTTTGTCCACATTGGAACAAAGGTGTCCATTCTTGTGCTTGGGGATGTGTTGAGAGTTGCTTCAAGGCAAATCTTTTGCTCTCTTTTTTTGGGAGACGGGGGGATCTAATTTTATGTCTGGTATTGTGTTCATATTTTCTGTTTTGCAGAAACTTTTGGATCAGATTCTTCACAGGAGCAGCAACTGAATGGCATCTGACGGGATTTTCTATCTATGTACATTTTTGTATCAGCGATTTTCATTGTTGTTGCGTGGCAGATGATCAAATCCTTGCCAACAAATCAACCATTGCTGTGCTCCCGTGGTGGTGCAAAGCAGACGGCCATCCCGTGGCGGCGGTGCCAAGCTATTAAGCGGCAAGATGGCCGAATGTGACCTCTCTGCCACATTTTAATGAAGAGCAACCGGTTAGAATGGTGTCTTTGTCCCAGTGCACACTGGCTGTTTCTTACAGAGCTCAGCCAAAGTACACGAGTATGTCTCAGAAGCACAGCTCAGATATTGAGACCAAAAATGGACGAAATCACTTTTCAGATAAGTGCAAAAATTAAGTGAAGACAGGCATCGGACGAATACTGGTCTAAATCAAGGTTGAGTTCTAATTTTTGACATAGATGGTGCGATCCTTTATTGCACTCAACACTTTTCCTGATTCATTCGTCTGACATTGTGCCACTCTCATTTCCAAGATGGCCCCACCCAAGAATCCGGCTTCAGCTCCCCAAAAGCATGCCAGAAAGTCAGAGTCAGAGATTCAAAGACTCAAAAAGGAATTGAAGTATTGTCGCATCAGTCTGAGTGCTAATGCATCTGGATGTTAGTAGGCTACTCTCCATACCGAAAAATACAAAATTGTAAGTCAAGTCATTAAGGTGGCACTGTCCAACTCAAGTTTAGTTCACTTATTTGTTATTCGTTGTATATGTAAACTAATTCATTAAAGATATTTTTCCTTGTCATGGTCCTGCTTTCTTATTTTTTTTTTGGGGGGGGGGGATACTCCTTGTTTGAAGACAGAAACGCCCATGGATTTTATTGTGAAACATTCTTGCAAACTTTCGCTTGCTGGCTTCCTTCCGAGCTTCCGGGTTGGACGGGTTTTAGGACCATGTAGAATTCGTCTCGCACATGGTCATTCACTCACAAGCTCACAAGATACAAAACCACTTCTTGTCCTTCTCTTTCTTGCGATTTTTCATTTTCGTCACATTTTCACTTGCTTCCACTTGCCCGCCGTCTTTTTTCTCGCAGACTCCCTCGCAATGGCTCGCCGTCCATGGGATTTCCCTTGCAACTTGATCACGTTTCACGACGTCATTTGACTCGGATGATGATGATGATGATGATGATCATTATGATGCTGCAGATGAAGATGACGCTTCGGCAGCACTGATCTGCGCAGGCAGCGCCATGGCCGGTGGGAACTTTGGGATTTGGGCTGCACTCCTTGCGTGTCTATGCGTGAGCGCGCGTCACCCTGCAGGAGGTAAGACGGATGGAACGCGCACGCACGAGTTCACGATGTAACGTGTGTGCAGCTTTGCCTGAGAGCGATGCATGGAAACGGGAATGGATGTACAGTACAACTCCACTCCAGTCTTTGGGGGGAAATAATATGAGCATTCAATATCTTTAGTGTAACCTGTAACGATTAGTAATATTGAATTAGTAAGAACTTAAAGTGATCTCATAACTAATGCAAATATTGTGGAAACTCAAAAATATTCAGCTGAAAGCAGTAAGGAAAAAAAAATCTTCAAAATCAAGTATGAAATCATAACATTATATTAATTCAACCCAATAATGCAATGAAATAATTGTCAACATTTTCTGACTCGTTTTTCATTTACTTTTAAAATAGAGCTCTGAGAAAAACTGTCGTTGGAATTTAAATATCAAATATTCTCACATTTTTGGGCAATAAATAAATGCACATGAATTTTTTTTAGACAATATTTGGGGCATTTGTAGCTTAATGATATAAAAAATGATTGTGTACACAATATGTAACCATGAACCCCCTCCACACACACACACACACACACACACACACACACACACACACACACACACACACACACACTAAAACAAAATATCTATCTGCATCATACCGAGACCGGTTCCTAATATATCGACCCTTTCTTGTGCCCCCCAGTCCACTCTCTCCCACACCACCCCCACAACCTCACCCAAAAACCATCTGAGAGAAAATATTCGGAACAGCTGATTGGACTTCCTTGTTTGATGTGCTTGAAGGTGTAGGCGGCGACACGATGTATGTATGCACCAGGGACTGGTGTCTAACCTCTCACATCTTCACGCCGTCCCACTCACTCTTGTAATTGACGAAACCTGGGAGTTAATTAAGAGGCAGGCAACAAGGACAAGTGTGTGCGTGTGTGTTATGTGTGTGGTACCAGTGCTGATTTAGTCATCGAGACGTCATCGTTTGGCCTTGATGGTGCCTCCTCCTCATCTTGGTCGTGTCTCCCGCGGGCACTTCTTCCCCCGCCTGACACGTCTTCCGCCGTCACTCTTAGGCTTGTTTTGTTTACCTGCTCGCGCGGATCCGACACGACAATTAATTCATTAGTAGCACGCGGATCAGAGGCAGCATCCTCAAACGCTGCCGCTTCTTCCTTCTTTGTGCATCATTGAGCGCTGGATATGTAATCATTTTTTGTGGATTAAAAAAAAAAGAAAACACAATCCTCCAATTTTTTTTCCTTGATCATCTTTTATTTTTACATCTGCATAAGAAATAATGGAAAGCGCGGCTAGGAAATTAGCTCACGTTTGTATGTCAAGACAATCAGTATATAACTGGCCACTGATGAGGCGACAGGATACCGACAGTGCAGTACTTCTTCAGTGATTGTCGTAATTGCAAAACGACAAATGTCTCTTTAGGTTTTCACGCAGTCTCGACATGGTCAAAGATGATCGGCATGTCGGTCTCGGTCAAAGTTCGCGAGCACTGCGACACGTTTGCGAGGCCGCCACCATGCGGCGACCTGGCGCTAGGACTTGGCTCTCCGATTTGAGCGTTTCCCTTTTAATGGATGCCAGACGTGCGCTTGGCTTCCAGGGCGGCCCTAAATGAAATCCATCACGGGAAGCGCATTAGCATTAACTTTTCGCACAGCCCGCTACCCAGAAGCTGACCTTCATCGCTCAGGCTAAGTAAGGGGGGGTTGGCGGATGGCGGTGTGCATGCGGTGGTCTTAACCTGGCACTCTCGTCGTCTGGGACAATATTAACCTCTCGCTGAGGCCGAAATGACTTTTTGGCTGCGGGGCCATTCATCCACCCCTCCAACGGTGATTATGTGCCAAAGTCCCGCTCGTGTGACAGTGAATGGGTTCATTACACAAAAAGGTGTGTGTGTGTGTGTGGGGGGGGGGGTATAGAAAACAACTACGAAAGGTTATTTACCACTAGATGAAGCCTGGTGCTAAATGTCCTGATTATGCCTCAAACAATCATCATACCCTGAACAGATTCCATTTCATGACAGAGCCTTTTTTTCCCCCTCTGATTGAATCCGTTTCGGCACGGTCGCTAGCTATAGTCGATCGGCTATTCCCAAGCACGTTAGATGATCCAATTTCACTTAAGTGGACTGAAAATGATTGTTTATTTACGACAAATGGTCATTGATGGCACACACAAAGGTTGGTCATTGCCTAAAGATGCCACTCGATGGCAGCCAAGCACTCGTTTCTATTAGACAAAGCGATGGCCTGACGGAATGAAGCTAATTTTTTTTTTTGCAATGTCACAGCTTTGTAAATTTTACAAAAGCTGCATCAACACGTCCAGACAAAATATTTCTGTGCATGTTTTAGGGTACACTTGGTACCTACTTGCGACCTCTCCACATCCAATAATAATCATAATAATAACTCATCTTTGATGGCCTTTTTCTGCCGCTCACTTTGTTCCCACCCCGCAAAAAGCAGATTTATGAAAGACTCGCAGGGCTTTGTTCTCTCAACGCCGTCACCCGCCGCCAGGCATGAAATGACACGACGCGTTCGCGTCGACGTTCGCTTATCTGCCACATGTGGCGCTTGCTTTGCTCCCTTCATGTGCACTTGATGAGGCCGCGGCCCCTGCGTGGAGCCCGAAATGGGATACGGGCACATCAACAAACTAGTCCTGATTACAGTACTGTGAGGAAGAAGAAGAAAAAAAAAAAGGCGTACAAGGACACACGTTTGAAGCTGTTGAGAGTCTGTCAGATTCTTGAAAAGAAAATGTCTGTGGAAAAGCAGGAATCCTTTGCATGGTATCCAAATAAGTGCACGGGAGGACACGCTTTCACTTATGAATCACAAGGAGGAAATATGCCAGAAATAAGGCGCATGTGGAATAAATTAGAGCATAGTGATGAGTTGAAAGCAAAAGCAAACAAAGAGAAGAGCAGGCCCGGAATGATGAACGATGAGGTTTTTTTGGCAGAGGGGCTCCCATGCAGGAAAACTTCCCAGACACAACTTTGGCAACATGGCAAGAACACGATGTCGCGGTTTGCACGTCTGCCTCACGGTTCTGAGGCTCGCATTTGCATCTCGGCGGCAATCCTCATCCGGACGGGTTGCGCGGGGTCTTTTCCGGGTACGCATATTTCCATATAACGCGCAATATTTTGCAGACGTCATCCTGGTGATGCCCCACCCCCCAAAAAATACCCCCACCCCGTTGCTTGTATTTTGCAGTCACGCGGTATTGGATCCCGAAAGAGTGACCTTTGCTTCACCGACGTCAAGGCTCAAGCAGTCACCGTCTGCGGGCGAAACGGTCACAAAGCTGCACTTAAGTTGCATTTCGGTCCCACGTACAAAGTGTCCGCCAACTAGCGCAGATTTATTTCGCTCATATAAAACGGAACAAGGTGTCTTTGTGTCCAGCGCCGCAATAAAGGGAGCTTATCGCGTCGAGAGCCCGACTTTATTTGTGCGCTTATTTGACTGAACGCGTAAATAAGAACGGCGGTTCCTCCTCGGTTGACTTTTTTCGACGCTCAGAACAAATGAACTGTTTTGCCACTCGAGGAAACTTTGAAGTACGGTGTTCGAGACTCGTACTGCCCCCCCCGCCCCCACCCCCAGAGAACCTTGATCTTTCTTGCGTTTACGCAGTCTTTCCCGACAGCTTGTCATGTATTCCCGACTTCCTCAGATGAGATGAGATGGTATTCCACCACTAATGATGCCCTTCTCCCGCTGGGTCCGCAACGGGGAGGGCGGGGGTTGGGGGGGCTTTGCCAGAGAGACACCATGATGAACTCCAGAGAGAGCGAGAGTTTTTTTTTTTTTTTTTTTCTCCCGCTGAACAAAGCTCAGCTGGTTCACAACGCCGGATAATAAGCAGACTCAGCAATTAAGCAGGGCAACTCTTCGGAGACTAAAAACTGGCAGCGGATGACGCTGGGTCGACCCCACAGCGCAGTGGATTATTAGCGAGAAAGGGGGGAAAAAAAAATGACAGCAGACCGGTATTACCCTTGACTCGATTTGCCTTCAACCATTTGGATCAGATATCATTAAAATAAACACGAGTCTTGCTAAAAGGACACGAGTGCTCCGGTCCGAATCAGCCGGAGCAAAAGTTCTCGGTGGTCTGAATGTCATCCAAAAATCTTGATCAAATAATCATCCCAGAAACATTTCGAAAAGGTTTTGGAATTTTCACTTCCTCTCCAAAGTTACGGTGGCATCCCAAAAGCAAAGATTCTCTTGGTTTGACCGTTCTGATCGGACTGATAAGAACCCGACTTCAGAACTCAAACCTTTCAGCTCATATCACTTCAGAATCAAAAGCAATTCTTGGTCAGAGGTCATCCTCACAGGATAATCTCCGCGAGATTGCTAGCTGAGGAGAAATCCCGCCAAAATACATCAAGAGAGCCGAGCCAAGTTGCACGTCAAAAGTCTCGCCGGCTGTCGTCTGGGGC